ACCTCAATCCTTTGATCCGAGACGTTAAAATAATAGCGAAAAGTATTTTTCCGGCGACTGTTTTGTGCATTTTTTCCTTTTCTATGCCTCTCTACCAAAAATTTTTGAGAAGTGGTGAGCAAAAATAATTTCTTTGCCTGTTCACCAAAGGGTATTAATAGTTTTGAAATATGATGTTTCTCTCTTGATCGGAAATAAATTTTTGGCATCCGTGAACGCAACTAGTTAAACAGTTCTTTTTGGTCAGCACGCCTTTTGCAGGAACTAGTTTTTTTCGTACAGACATGTACTCTTTTCCTTCATCATGAGCTTTTTTCCTCACATTGCACGCCCAAGACTTTGGATTCCTTGTCCTTTTTCGAACATTTTTCTTCTCCTTGGTTTCACCTTCACCATCTTCTGCTGTGATAATATGGCCCCTTCCTTCCATAATTTCTTGGTCTGAGCTACAACACATAAGTGCAATAAAAAAAAAATAAAGATTGATAGGTAGTATTCAAAATAACAAACCTGCTAGTGTCTGGCGATGAATCTGGAAGATATTCCTTGTCTACATCAGAATCATCATTGCAGTCAAATAATCTAGCATTTTGTGAGCTCTCTCCCATTAAAATAATATTATCTTATAATACCCTGATTCTATAGATTTGAAAAAACTCACGTGTCTTGTTGAAGTCGACGACGGTTCTCTCGCATTTGAATTGTTTTGAGATCATCCTCAATCTTTATTTTTTATTTAATTTTTATTTTAAGAAAACAGTTAAAGAAAGTATTAGGTAGCGTTGCGAAAAAAACTAGTTCCTGCAAAAGGCGTGCTGACCAAAAAGAACTGTTTAACTAGTTGCGTTCACAAATTTATTTCTGATCAGAAAAACATATTTCAAACTATTATACCCACTTTGATGAGCAATTTTGCTTTGTCACCCTCGTGACAGAGCATGAAAAGAAAAATAGCCAGCACTGCTGTGTGGCATCTCAAGAACCAGTGTGCTGTGACCAGCAGACTCCAATATGTTTACATTTAAGAAAGGATTCATTAAAACAGGCTTAATTGTGGCTACAGTGTCAATGATGAATGGGCTGACTGAAGGCATCGAGATTTCCCAAAGTATCTCCTGCCCGGTACTAAGTCAGGCAACGACCAATGTTCTAATGCTCTAATGGCAACCTGGGCGTGGTTGCAGAATAACCTTTTCCCATGCATGAAGGACGGGTAACTGATGAAGCTGCAGGCGGGCAATCACTGAAAAATGAGGTGTTCAGAAGACATTCGAGATACTTTGAAAGCACGGGCAGGTAGCCTGTTCCATTTTGCTGTTGCGACTTACAAAATGTTGTCCTCGAGGCAGAAAATCGAGCAGTTTACTATAGGAAGCAAGTTCAATGTGGCAATATCTGTCAGCCTGAGTATGCTGTGCTGTTTGTGCTTGTAAGGTTTCTGCGGTGCTGTGACAACTGTCTTGGAAGGGTGTTGACTTATTAAATCTCGCCAACTGTATTGTGTGATAGTTGTTCCCACAAAACTAACTCTTTGACGTCTATTTTTTCTGAAACTGCGCCAGGCACCATTGCCATGAGGACCTGCTGCCTGGGCATTCAGTCCAGGAAGACCAGATGGTGATCAGATACCGATGGGCTGAGGTCGCCAAAAAGTGAGTACTTTGCCAATCAGAAAACCTTTATAGTGAATGAAAATGCTCGCTAACTTTAAGGCTCAGCAACAGGAACGCAGGTATAAGAAAAGTTCAAAATTAAGTTAAATAACTGAAATTCACTCAATCCTTTGAATGGAATACAAACTCCTATAAACTTGGACAAATGTCTAAAGAGATCTTCTCGTCCGAAAGGACGAATGTATCCAATGCCAGCTTCGGAATGCTGAAAACATCTGCATCAAAATGCCTGCTGGAATGGCGCTGAACTGTTTCTTTGCTCAATAGGTTAGCGATGTTATGTTTTTACTGTTCCTGGTTACAAACGTTGTTTTCTTTTAAATATTAAAAAATAATAAATACATTTTTCTATGGTATCTAGAGTAACCAAATTGTATGTTGCACAGCCATACGATATTTTAAATTAAGCCTCTTGTTTTTGTCTGTTAAATACGTGGTGATCGAACAAGCTGAAATCTGTTTGAACGCCCCAGGCAAATGCCTCTCTGTGAGCCGGTGCAAAATGTCTCTTTGCTTCCTGGCGATACTATTCAGCTGTAACTCCTCAATA